AATGAATTGTTTGCAGATATAAGTGTCCATCGTATTTGTTGCGCAACCTGAAGGAGCTTGGATTCAGAGAACCAACGCCTATTCAAAGGCAGACTATTCCAGTACTTTTAGCTGTACGAATTATGTTAAGTTACTTGTAGTATAAGTATTTTTCATTTGGTTTTCTCTCTTCAGAAAACTGTTACTGAAGTTCGGTCATGATTCATAAGTAGTTTCTATTGTCTTTGGGATAGGTATAAACTGTATATTGTTTTAAACTGCTGTATTTCTTCTATTATTTGTGATAGGGTCGTGAATGCTTTGCGTGTGCACCAACTGGTTCTGGGAAAACCCTTGCATTTGTATGTCCAATGCTTATGAAGCTTAAGGTATTTTGCTTATTTTCTCCAACCCGGTTTGCTTATCCCGATGTCCTGTGTACTCGATTCATATAATATATGTATTTTATGTTTTACAGGACCCAGAAAAGGGTGGCATTCGAGCTGTTATCCTTTGTCATACCCGTGAATTATCTGCTCAAATATTTCGAGAGTGCAAAAAACTTGCAAAAAGAAAAAAATTTGGAATTAAGTTAATGACTAAAAATCTCTTAAGAAATGCTGATTTTTCAAAGTTTCCATGTGATATACTAATATCCACACCACTGCGATTGCGGTTGGCTATCAAGAAGAAGAAGATTGATCTCAGCAGGTATGATGATTGCCGTATAAGTGTCTTTTATAGCAAATATTTACCTTGAATGCTTATAATAGTTGGTTTATTGTTGCTCTCTTACTCTCATTATATTGCAGTTTTTTATCCTAATAATTGATTGAGCTATGATTAATTAATTATCAATCAATTGCACGTATGATAATCTTGGATCCATTCTTTTCAATTGTGCTTCTATTAAAGCGGCATGGTCGGAGTGCTACAAGTGTAGCTCGACTTTATTGATTATAATGCTCAAGCATTATAAAATTTTGCCAGATTCTTTTAGATGCATCTTGAGATTGTGTCTACAAAGTTAGTAGCAGATATATGATGTGATTTATTAGATAGGTCGTTGTATTGATTTTTTTCATTTCTTCCAACTACTTTGGATGCTTCAGAGTGGAGTATCTTGTCCTGGATGAATCGGATAAGCTGTTTGAACCCGAATTATTCAAGCAGATTGATTCTGTTCTCAAGGCATGCTCCAACCCCTCAATCATTCGCTCGCTTTTTAGTGCTACTTTACCTGATTTTGTTGAAGATCGAGCTCGAGAACTTATGCATGATGCTGTTCGTGTAATTGTTGGCAGAAAGTAAGTTCAATGCAAAATATTTGCAAAAATGATGCTCCTGAGTATATCCTTAATGCAGTTTTCGTTTACATTATTTTGTAGATAATGTCTAGTTCTTTTATTTGAATCAGGAATATGGCTTCTGAAACGATAAAGCAAAAATTGATTTTTACTGGAAGTGAAGAAGGAAAACTTCTTGCAATTCGTCAAAGTTTTGCAGAGGTAAATGGTTAAACTAATTCTTTAGATAATAATTCTTGTCAGTGCAACTTTCATAACTTTCATAGAGTCAGAGGGTTGTGTGTCTCACAATTAAACTATAATTGGTTTTGGTGTGTTTTAAAAGAAAGTCCCTACTATTTACTATTAATATATATTTTTCTATTGTTATTTTTTTGTAGTCTCATTTGTTTTACTGATTATACGCTACATGCATACAATTAAGCTTTTTGTTTATTCTGGGTTTGGTGTTACATAATGTGTCATGAACATAATATAGACTTGGAATGTTTAATTATATATCAGTTACGTTCGCTTGGCTTTGGAACTTGCAAAATGCATATAATATTGTAGTCCCTCCTATCAGCTATATTGGTATTTTTTAGTTGCTTTATTTCTGACTTATATTCTGCAACGTCTTGTAGAGTCTAAATCCTCCAGTATTGGTCTTTCTCCAAAGCAAGGAACGAGCCAAGGAGTTGTACGGTGAACTTGAATTTGACAACATTAGAGTTGATGTCATTCATTCTGATTTGTCTGAACAAGAGGTAGTTCTAACAACATATGTTTATTTGAAAATACATAGAGAATCTGCAACATTCCCCCTCCTCTCCGAAAAACATCAAAATGAAAAGAAAACTGATAAGTGTGTGACCAGGGTCTGGTTTTTAATATTTGAATGAAGATGTCAAGTATAATGTTCCTTATTTGTTAATATATATTTTTTTTTATCGTCAACATATGTACTCCAAATCTAAAGCATACCTTTTCATTTAGCAGTTTTTTGTGATTTATGAATTCTGATCTCATACATTTCTATGAAGCGAGGAAATGCTGTCGACAACTTCAGAGCTGGAAAAACATGGGTTTTGATTGCTACTGATGTGGTTGCCCGGGGCATGGATTTCAAAGGAGTGAACTGTGTGATCAATTATGATTTCCCTGATTCTGCCTCCGCATACGTCCACAGAATTGGTATGTGCAGCTATACTAAAGTTGTTTAAGATTTGAGAAAAGATATTTATAGGGATTATAGTTCCTATATTCACGAATTTTTATTATTTGCTAAAATATTCGTTCATTAGGTCGTTCTGGCAGAGCAGGAAGGAGTGGAGAAGCTATTACGTTGTACACAGAGGAAGACATTCCATTGTTGCGAAATGTTGCTAATCTAATGGCAGCATCGGGCTGTGAAGTTCCGCCCTGGCTCATGGAGTTGCAAAAAAAGAAGTGGAAGAAGCACCGGCCCAAAAGAGATTCAATCTCAACAAAACCAGACCTATAACAACATAGAATGAGAACACGAGTTGAACCCAGAAAGTTCCGGTAGTATTTATGTCTTAACAGGCCAGGCAGCTTGGTGTTAAGATTTCTTTTTTACCCATCCCCAAAAGTTTAATTAACTCATATTACACCCAGTTTGTATAGAATGAGTTAATTTGTTGTACACTTTTTTGTTACATAGGAGGCCTGTGCATAATTTTATTTCAGGATCAAATAGTTTCTAACTTCCTAGAGAAACGTCGCCACTTAACCCACGGCTCTCTGGACAAATGTAAGCAGAAAAAACAAATAATGAATCAATTTGTCATTAGTTAAATTAGTATTTCGCTAGTCTCGTTTTAAGGGTAACTAAAATGGTCTGCTGTCCGATTTATGACTGAACTGGTTAGCCAATCGGTTTGATCGTTTTGGCAGATGAGAAATTAAGTAGTTTAGTATGTAATCTCTAATAAAAAAAGGAATTGAATGTAAATGTTCAACTGTGATTGGAATGACAATTAATTAATAGTTACAATACAACTAATAATTGATGCAAAAACCAGCGGTCGTCGGAAAGTCATAATAGTCACGAAATATATGCACTTCTGTCAAACCTAGTTATTTGTAATTCACTCAAAAAACACAGCCAACTACTGTTAGGATTTTTAAAATAATATTTCTACGGAAGTAAATTATACTTAATTGAATTGTACAAAAACTTGTTATATTAGTTTACTTTCTAAAAACCGAATCGCTCCTAAATATAATTGTTTCAAATGAATCGAACTATAACTTATTATGTTTGAATATATACTTTAAAATATGTCCATAGGTAACAATTCAAATAATCTAAATAGTTTAATTAAGTTAGAAACAACTTTGAGTAAATCAATTTGACTATATTCACTCTTACTATAAAAAATTTAACTTAATTTAGTTTTTGTCAAACCAATTTTAAACAATTCAATTCAGATTTCTAATAGTTAGGTTTAATATCCTATTTTGTTCCCAGTTTCGCTCGAAAATGTCAAATTAGTCCATCCTTTACAAAATGCGTCAATTACGTCCTCACTTAATAAAATTTGCATCAATTAAATCTCTTCCGTTAAATCCGTATAAACGACGTTAATTATTCAAGTAGAAGAGAGAGAGAAATAATTAACGTCGTTTGTACGGATTTAACGGAAGGGATTTCATTGATGCAAATTTTATTAAGCGAGGACGTAATTGACGCATTTTTTAAAGGATGGACTAATTTGACATTTTCGAGCGAAACTGGGGACAAAATAGGGTATTAAGCCTAATAGTTCACTCCAATTCATGCATTTTTTTTTCTACCCTTAATCACTACTACTCCAATATAAAAGGAAAACAATGATAAGATGTTACTTTTAAAATTAACTGTGACAGACTCACCAAAAAATTAGTATAGATTTTGGAAGGATTATCACTATTGGTGAATGCGTACCAAATGTTAATGTCTAACCTCTGACAGGGATCATAACCATGATCCAACATCTGCAACCATAAATCTTCAAGCATTGTGTAGATTTTGCACCTCTTCGGAGGAGAACTGTCTTGTGAGAAGAACATGTGTTAGTGTATTTTCTGCAGTCCGGACGAGTTTTACTGAAAGCAAGAAGAGTTTTTCATGCAGTAATATGAGGGTCAAATCCCCTGATTTCTCCATAAAATTCTCTGCTTCATAGAAGCATCCAGCACGAGCAAGCAAATCAACCATGCAAGAAGCATGCTCTTTAGAGGTTTTTTTAACTCACTTATTAGTGAATAAATAAAAGAATATTGATTCCATGAATGAGTTAAAATTGACCCGAAACTGTAAGTTCTATAGCTATTTCCTTTGAAATTCCTCGAAACATAGAATAGGAGCTTCGTGTGTTAGAATCATATGTTTGTGAACATGTTTTCCTCCACTGCAAGTTTCTTCATGTCTTTGAAATGAACCTTGTATGTTTCATAAAAGAGTGAAGAAAATCTTCTTCTGCCACTCGTCACAGAAAAAGAAATACTAAAAGTGTAGTTAGAGAACATCATTATATCATCACACTTTGAACTTAAAGATGTACTTGTGTTAGTTGAGTTTAAGAGCTGATTTAAAGATGCCGCTGTATCTAATTAAGTATGCTATTTATTTCAATACATTCCAAATAACTTTCAAGATTTACAATGAAGTTCTTCAACCTACCTTTTGTTTGATACTCCCTTAGCTGGTAAAATATTCAATGTCAAGACTCCATTTGAATATCAACTGGACAACTTCCTCTACAAATGGATGTTTAACTGATACATAGTAACTTAAAAATAAGTGTCATCAATGGTTGAATTAGACAAAAATTTTAAACATTATTTTTTATAATAATAATAATAGTTACTATAATAATTTCATTTTGCCCACGTATTTTGAAGTATTAATTTATTCGGAAACAAAAATTCATTCAAGAACAATTTAAACGTTTAATTATAGGAATATATATACGGGGTTTACTAATTTAGGTAACCTCTTATAAAGTATATCAAATTGACAAAAATACTCTGATTTTAAATTTTAAGATTAAAGATATTTAAATAATTTCTAATTTTTTATTTTATTTTTTATTTTAAATTAAAAATAAAAATTATTAAAATACCATGTTTAAAGTATGTCTTTTTTTTTAATAGGGATTTTTTTATCACATTTAAGAGGTTATATAAGTTAACAAATATATATATATATATATATATATATATATATATATATATATATATATAAATTAATGACTAATTACATAATAAAAGAAGAATTTAAATGACTAGTTGCATGCATATATATTACAAAAATACAAAATTAAATACATGTGGGTTTTCTATTTTTGTATGATTCTTTTAGTTTGAAAATTTAATAATTTTAACATAGTTATTAATCATTTTATTTACTTATTTTATTAGTAGTAACTTTTAAAATTAATTAATTATAAACTATAATTTTGAAAATTAATAAATTATTTCCATTAATGTATCGTACTCGTTCACGCGCTAATTGAGATTAAGATTGAGATAAGATAGGATATTCACAAATATTCTACAAACAAACTTGTCGATGTGTGTGAGAATAATTGGATGGGTCACAATTTGATGCTAATGCAAAGTAAAATGGGCTTTAACAATACCAGTCCAGAACCCAAATAAGTCTGGGCCCAAACTTATTGACATAAACCTAATTGTTCAGAAATATAGGCCCTGTCACAACGCCGTTAAATCTTTATATAAACACCACCACACTCCATTTATAGGATTAGGGTTTTGCACTGCGGCTGCTCCTACGGCTCCATCTTCTCCGAGTTCCCAAATCTCTACCTGCGCAGAACCAAACCTTCACCACCATGGGGTAATGCAACATTTTTTGTTTTCAACAACTATATCACTTATCATTCTTTGTTCCCTAAACAAATTGTTGTCATTGCAAAATTTCCTCTATTGCTACATGTTTATAGTTTTTATATTTGTTTTCTCTTTGGAATTTCGCACCGCCGTTAATCTCTTGTTTCTCGATTTTTAAGAACTCTTTTTTTGTTTCATTAAGTTGTTTGTATGATGTGGTCTGTGTGGTTGAGTTCGTAGATGTGTTGTTGGTTGTTTAGATCTATGTACAGTCAAATCTTCTCAGGGTTTCTACCGCGTGGGAACTATTTATTTTTCTAGTGTGGGTCATGGTGGGGTTGTTATGTATGAGTTGGTTCATGTCTTAGCATTGTACATTCCATTGTCCTGGAACCGTTGAATCTCTAACTATATTGTGGTTGATGTTTCATTTGTGCGTTGAGCACTGTAATTCAATTTTATATGTTCAATGTATTACGAATAATTGCATATTGGAGTAGAACAGTTATGGTGGCTTAGGTGTTTGAAGACAGATTGAATTCCTTTTATTTGTTTTCGCGAACAAAATCCATTATGTTATCTTTTTGAGATTAAATTATTGGAAGTTTTTTCATTCATGATACAGTCTTGCAGATTTGTATCTGTTCGTTTTTTTAAGATCAGTAGTGTAGTGGGTAGAGCCAATGTTGTTGTAGTGTTATAATGTCAAATTAATGCTGTTTATTTGTTTTGTTAACAATGTTGTCACTTTATTCTGAGAGTCGATATTATGGATTGTACCGATCCTCTTTTTTATGATGGCTAGCAATTTTGTAATTGTGTGTACATAAGAGATAATAATAAATCTTCTTAATTTCCTTTTACAGGAAAACACGTGGAATGGGAGCTGCCCGCAAGCTGAAGTCCCACCGTAGGAGACAAAGGTGGGCTGACAAATCATACAAAAAGTCTCATCTTGGCAATGAATGGAAAAAGCCTTTCGCAGGTTCTTCCCATGCCAAGGGAATTGTTCTTGAAAAGATGTAAGATCTTTTTAACTGGTTCTATATATCATTGAGTACTTATTTAATTATATTATCTAATTCTAACAAATTGTATGTTGTTTTATTTTCAGAGGTATTGAGGCTAAGCAGCCCAACTCTGCCATTCGTAAATGTGCCAGGGTTCAGCTCATCAAGAATGGCAAGAAGATCGCTGCCTTTGTGCCAAACGATGGTTGTTTAAATTACATCGAAGAAAATGTAAGTAATTAATCGATCTTTTTATCCGCATTATTTCTCTATTTTCATTCTTCAAGGATATATAATATGGGTTTTGTTGATGGTTGTAGGATGAGGTTTTGATTGCTGGATTTGGACGAAAAGGTCACGCCGTGGGAGATATTCCTGGTGTCAGATTCAAGGTTGTAAAGGTTTCTGGGGTGTCTCTCCTGGCTCTTTTCAAGGAGAAGAAGGAGAAGCCAAGGTCATAAAGCTTTGGACCGTCTCCTTTTTTTTATATTAAGAAATTATGAATTTTGCTACATTAAGATGATTGAGTTTTGTGGACGGTTTTGTATCTCTAATGGCAAATATTCTCAACTTAATTTAGTTCATATTTACTTCTTCCGTTAAACTTCATTTGAATATATAATCACTGTTAAGGTTTTTTTATCTTTAAAATATGCTAAATTGAAATTCAGTTGATTCCCAAATGTTTTTTAAGCTGCATTTAGTTATACTTTTGTTTACTTAATTGTAATTTTTTTATCTTTTCTAAAGATTTCCTTAGAGTTTAAATTGGTGAATCGATTATGACTAAGGCAAATTCCTATCACCCCTTGTTTAAATGTTTTTTATCCGTTTTCTTATACATTAACTATCAGTAATATAATATTCGAGTTTCCTGTCTTATTTTTTGGATGTATTTAGGTTCTTACTGGAAGAACTTAGTAAATTTAAGTTTAGTTTTAATGCTAGTCAATTTTAATTTTAGATCATGAAAATTATTGTTTTCTTTTCTGTTCTTTTAGAGATTTGTGTTCAATCATATGATTTTGAGGTT